ACCACAAGATCATGACCTGAGCCTAAGTTGGATGCTTAACCGACGGAGCCACCCAGGCGCCCCTCACATTCAGCACTTCTAACGCCCTTCCCTGTTTATTTGTCTCCATGGTACTTCTCACCCTCTGGAAGAACAATATATTTTACATATTTATTGTTCTTCCTGACCAGAATATTGGCCCCAAAAGAACAGGAATTGTTTGTTTGTCCTTAGCTGTCTCCCTGATGCCGAGGACAGTTCCTGGCATTCAGCAAATACTTGTTAAATAAACAAGATGATGGAATGAAGGAACTCTGGGGGGCTTAGGGAATCCAGAGAGAAAGGATCCGGACTCTTGGGTGTTTGGAGACGTCTAGGGCCTGGAAGCGGCCACACTCCACAGCAAGTAGAGTAGATTCTGGCCCCCCAAGTTCGAGCCTAGCCTGGGTTTGGGAACTGCTCTCCCTTGCTATGAACTATCCGTCTACATATAGGTTGTATGTGAAGCTGTCTCACACTGGAGGAAATCCCTTAATCCCCTAGGCCCCTCTCTGTGGAGGACAGGGCTTCCCAGGGAGAGAATCAGGGAGTAGAGGAAGGGGCAAGAGGTCGGGTTTGGGGTAGCTGTATCACCAGCTGCAAGTCCCCGGGAGCCTCCCCTGGGTGACCCTGGAACAGCATCTCAGCCAGAAGTCACAATGCATTGGGGCCCTCCCCTACCAGAGATCTGCCCTGGCTTTCCCTGAAGCTCCAGGGAGAAGGCGGAGCAAAACTGAAATATGCAAATACCCTTACCTGGGAGGCTGGCCTCCAAATGTCCCAACACAGCTCATACTTAGGGAGCACTCACCACCGCCGGCCAGACCGCCACTTCTGGAAGCTCTATCTGTATCAGCCGACTTAATCCCTACAGCAAACCTATGACGTGGGCCCTGCTGTCATTCCCATTTGACAGATGCAGCAGCCAAGGCACAGAGAGGTGAAGACATTTGCCCAAGGGGGCAGTTTTGTAAGTGACAGAGCAGAGGCTCACCTTGGCCAGTCTTCGACTCCAGAGTCCCAACACTGGGTGTGATGGAAAAGGAAAGCTCACGTTAAGTGACCGTTCACCGTGGGTAGGTGGGGGGCCGAGCCCTTTTTGTGCATTTGCTCGCCATTTTCACGGCTGCCTTGTGATAAGCGTCTTGTATGTGGGTCGTTCCATAGATGAGGAAGCCGAGGGCCAGGGAGGTTGACGAGATGATGGACCCAGAAGTGGGAGAATGGGTGCTGGAACCCAGGTCTACACACAGGACCCAATCCCTGAGAAAGGGAGCCCGGGAAAGCGGCATGGGGTCTCTGGGGAGGACAGAGCCCGGTGCCAGTTCGATTGTACCTCCCTCCTTCACTCCCACTCAGCCCCAGTCCTGTCCTTAGGTGATGTTCAGTCAACAGCTGTTGAATTAACTTAGGAGGCAGCAAAGGGGTAGGAGGGGCAGGTGCAAGGGACCAGGGTCAAGCTGAGTGTTCTTGGGAGGACCTCTCTGGGCCCAGGATTCCCTTGGGCTCTGGGGCAGTGTGCCTTGAGGGTTAAGAGCATGGACTCTGGAGTCAGAGCTGGAATTGGTGATCAGTTGTGCCATGACTCTGCATGAGAGGCTGGGTGGTACGGTGCTTAGGAATGCAGACTGCAGCCAGAGTGCTGGGGTTCCATCCCAGCTTTTTTACTCCACAGCTGTGTGACCTTGGGCAGCTCCCTTAACCTCTCTGAGCTTCCCTATCTACAAATGTGGATATTAGTCATATCTGCATTGGATGCCTGTCTAGCTTACAGCCACTGTTAGCTATTACGATTCTCCACAGAATGATCCAGAGTTGAGTTTTTAAAACACAATTAGGGTCATGTTCCACCCCAGCTTAAAAGCCTTCTCCAGCTTCCCCTGTCATTCGGAATAGAATTCAAACCGCTCACCCTGGCCTACAAAGGCCTACACAGTCTAGCCCCTTGCCTAACTCTGACCTCCCTCCCACCCTTTTCCCCTTGCCCACTGTGCTCTGGGTGCATCGGCCTGACCAACCAGCTCACTCGTGCCTCAGGGCCTTTGCACGTGCTATCCCTCCCCCTAGAAGCTCTTCTTCCAGATCTTAGCAAACCTGTTTCTCAGCTCCAGTGCCTCCTCTGGCAGGCATCTGCTCTCTCCCTACCTAAAGAAGCCGCCTCCCTCTCCAGTATCACATGACCTTATTTTGTGTGTTCCCCCGCATCCTATCACTCCTGGAGATTATTTTATTCATTTACTTGCTCATCCAGCTTCTCAACTGGAATGCCAGCTCCATGGAAGAGAGGACTATCGTCTACTTTGTTCCCCGCTGAGTCCCACAGTAGAGGGACGAACGACGGAGTGACCACACGAGGCTCTGGATCCAGAGAGCGACATGGAGACCCTAGTCCCCTGTAGCAACAAAGAAATTCTCTATTCCCCTCCCACGCACCCACCCAGC